TTTAAGACTAGTGTGTCATCCTGGGTTGACTAGAGAAACAAATTCATAGATACTTATATGTGTATAAGAAAGAGCTTTATATGCAAGAGCAGTTGAACATTGAGAAAACATCCCAGCCCAGCCCAGATCAAGTCTGTAAGTCTGATATTAGCCCATTTATTTGATAGCAATCTATAAAGTCCTCTTCAGACTCATGAAACACATGCAATGACACTGAATGCAGGAAGATCACAGGCCAGTGGGTGGGAAGTCTCATGGATCCAGTGGTGGTGTAAGCATCTCAGGGCTGGCAGGGGTCTCCACGTGGCTCCTTCAGCTCAGGACACTAGCGTACCTCCATGTGTATTGTCAGTTGCAATGTCTCCCAGTGAATGAGAAAGTTTTTCGCCTCCAGCAAGCTATTTAACTCAGAGGCACCTCCAAATGAGGTCATCAAGATGGGACCCAATTGACAGGCTAAACTCCACCCCTTCACTCTTGAACCTTTTAAAACTGACAAGCTTTTATGTGACTACCACAACTAGAAACACATTTTAATTTGGATTAACCACATTTCAAGTAGTCAATAGCACATGTGGGTAGTGACTACCATTTGGTTGTGTAAGTTCCAGGCATAATCAAAAGTAGCCTAGGAGAAAAAGAATACATTTCAATTAAACATAAACTTGCATTACATAGGCAATTCATTCTCTGACCCTCCTGAGAATGGCCAGGGACCATTTTGTGAAGTTTCTTAAACTTTTGGTAGACCTGAGTATTTCAGTTCTGTGGTGTTTTATTTTAGAGCCAGCAGTGAAAACACTCAACCCATCTTCATAACAGAGCCGAAACTACTGGAACCTGTTGCTCAGGACAGACTGCGTGTGTCTATCACTAGGCGAGACCGGCTTCTTCAGGAAAAGCAGCAGCTTCAGGTAAATGGGTAAAGATTCTTGAAGAACCAGGGCAGTAGTTTTCTTTCCCGACGAAGCCAAGTATAACAAAGTGGAGCTTTGTTTTCTTGAGCATAGCAATTAGAGCTTTAGCTGTCAACCTGTAACGGAGAAAAAGGAGAGAGATTGGTGAGAATTAGAGGGTCATATGAATCTCATTACAGATGAGAAATTGAAAGCTCAGCAGGTTGTATGCCTGTTTTTGATAGTCCTTATTACCTCCTGAATATTCTTCTCTTGTCTGCCGGATCAAGTTGTCACTTCCTATCAGTTTGACCTTTAGAAGAGTGTCTTAGAAAGCAGGAAGGAATCTGTACCATGAAAATTCTTTTAAGGCAATTTCATGCATAACCGTGAGCTGTGGAATGTGAGGTTACGAAGTGGCAATGCAAGCAAGCCTGAGAATGTCTTATCACAATACGAGGAGGCGAAATGTTGGCCCAAGGCAGTAGATGAAAGCTGGCCAAGTCACCCAGGGGCTAAAAGTCAAGGCCCAACATTGTATTAAAGCCAGGAAGCAGCATGAGCTCTGGAAGCTCGCTGGACACCCCAGAGACGGGGAGGCTGGAGACTGGGTCCCAGCCAACTGAAGCCTGGCCACCTTGTGGAAGCAATGGCAACCAAAGAGAAAGCACTGATTAGAGGCAGCATGACACTGGAGAGAACACGGATCTTCAATGCTTGAATTCAAATGGAGCTGCGGGTTCTCAATAGCTGTGTTACCTTAGATAAGTTGTTGGTCTATGAGAGCTTGGACAGATCACTGGAGCACCTACTCCCACGTGTGCCAGTGAAGAGTATTCCTGTTAGTTGAGCTTACCCTGAAATAGCCAAAGGGAAGCAAAAGCCATCATCATTTGAAAATATTCTCCAATACATTGGGCACTTAGATATTCAGTGAGTATTATTTTTTTAAGTTTGGGGAGCTGAAAGTGTGAAATTTGGTGCTTGATTTTTCAGAATACCTAGCTATTTAAAGATCTGCAAAATTCCAAATAATTTCAGATTGTTCAGAAAATAACATTAGCCTAGGATACTTAGTATTTAAAGGGAGAATTCATGGTAGTATGGGTGGGGGCACAGAGGAGGTAGAGTGTCATTTATTCATGACTTTGAAACTTTTTTTCACACGCAGACATTTCAAATCAGTTTTGGATACAGACTCACAAAGATTGTTCACCTGTCTCCTTTGGTTTGTGGTTAGTGTTACCTACTTCTCTAATATCTTAAAGTGCCTTATGATATATAGCTCTTCTACCTAGAGTGAAATACATTACCTATGTTTGCTGGACTTTCTAAGGCACAGTCTTGGCTCCCCCCATAGTTATTTAATACTGGGGAGGGATTATTTTTCCTTATGCTAACTAATGAGAAACATAAAGCTCGTCTGATTTTTCCCGTTCTGCAAACCTCCCCAAATTTGCCTGCCTCAGTAGTCACACACCCGGTGCTTGTGGAAGACTCAGATTTAAATGCATCATTATCTGTTGAGCAGCATGCTGCAAACAGGTTAATTTATAAAATAGGACCATCTCACTCTCTGCAGAAAGAAATCAAAGCTCTGCAAGCAAGAATGTCTATGCTGGAAGCAAAAGATGAGCAACTGAAGAGGGAGCTAGATGCACAGGAGCAGCTGCTGAGCTGGCCAGGTTGTGAATTGGCTGCACTCGCCAGTACACTGTCCCTGGATGAGCTACAGAAAATGGGGCGAGCTCTGGATGACACCCTGGCATCGGCCAATCAGCTTCTGTGCCTTGTGGAGACACCAGAATCCATAAGAAGGTATTTTTGACTTTCAAACTGTGTTTTTAAAGGTTTACCTCTCTCTTGAAGCCCTGGTGGTACTACTCGGTACGCATTTGACTGCTCATTGCAAGGTGCCAGTTCAAGCCCACGAGCCTCCCCGTGAGGAAAAGATGAGGCTATTTGCGTCTCTAAAGATTTACAGCCTCAGAAACCCTGGATCAGGTTACAATGAGTTGAAATACACTTCATGGTAATTAGTTTTGAGTTTTCTTCTTTTACAAGTTTATTGGACTGATTTTGGTTTTTGACCCTCATGCACTTATTTCCCAAGCAGCACTGTGTCTTTCAGTGGATAACCTACTGGCCTTTGGGGTAAGAAAACTTCATCATGTGAGTCAGTCTTGAGCATTGCAAGAGATCTCACTGTGGCAAGTGTCAGTACCTCTCCCTCTTCAAACATACACCTTTTCCTGTTTCCAAATACCCCTGGGGAATTTCTTTTGAGAACGTTTGGAGTTCAGTGGGCTAGAGAACCTAATTCTAACCTTCACTGAGAAGAGTCAGCCATTAAGGGTGACCAAATTGATGACAATGTCTCCATCGAAGTAAAAATAAATGTTAATAATAGCTAATATTAATCATATGCCAGGCATTGTGCCACACTTTACTCTCTCACCTGCCTCTATTGTTTATCTTTAGCTCATTTAATTTATTATTCATATCGAGCCACGGTGACACAGTTGTTAAGTTCTCAGCTGGTAATTGGAAGGTCAGTGATTCGAGTCTACCAGCCACTCCATGGTAGAAAGATGTGCCAGTCTGCTTCTGAAAAGCTATATATAGCCTCGGAAAACCCATGGGACAGTTCTGCTGTGTCCTAGATGGTCTCTATACATTGAAATAGACTTGAAGGTAGGATTTTGGTTTTAGGTATTGTTAGTATGTCCATTTCACAGAGGAGAAAAAAATCCTCGGCATTCACAATCTACTCAAAGCTGTATTTGTTCAGAGGCAAAACTGATGCTTCCCCATGTTGGTTCATTTTGAAGCCTGGTTTCTTATCCATGCTGCTTTGGAGCAGGGATATTCCCTATATTCTCTACTGTGTATTATTCAAAAGACATACTTTTAACTCTTGAACTTGTTGGTTGGTGCCGTTGAGTCGGCTCCAAATCACAGTTATTTTATATCCCTTTGCACAAGAGAACGAAACATTGCCTGATCCTGCCTCATTTTTACAATCTTTCCTAAGTTTGAGCCCATTATTGCAGCCACTGTATCAACTGTTTGACGCTCTTCCTTTTTGACACCCACCCTCTACCTTTTCCAGGGGCTGTCCCTCTGATAACGTGTCCAAAATAGGAGAAAGAAAGTCTCATCACCCTCACTTGTAAGGAGCCTTCCGGCTGTCATTTTTCCAAGACAGATTTAATTGTTCTTTTGGGAATGCATGGCATTTTGCATAGTCTCTCCAACACCATGACTTACAGGCTTGACTTCTTCTGCAGTCTTCATTGCGCCTACGATCCTCATCATCTCATATGGGGGACAGACAGAGCACGTATTTCCATGTGTTGTACAAAAAACGAGTAGTGCATGACATGATATACGGCGGGGGTTGGAAGGACTGCATGAAACTGGGTTGCATGTTGATCACTGTGAATCAGAACTGATTCGATGGCAACGTGTACAAAACTAACAACAGCTGAGAACACGCACGCCAGCTTTTGTGTGGAATTAAGCTCTAATGCTTCCACTTATTAGCTGATTTAAGTGAAGGGATGCTGATACTAATAACTACCCTGTAGAGCTTTTATGGAGATTAACTGAGTATATACATACTAAATTCTTGGATCAGAACCAGGACTGTAGTAAACACTATATAACTGCTGTTTTTGTTGTGGGACTTCAATCTCCTGAAGGACTTCTAAGATAAGCCTTCAAACTGCCTGTTTCGGTGGATCTTTATTTATTTTGTTAGTGACTGCCCTTTTTTACACCTACCTCATAGGCTAGCCAGGCTATAAGAGAAAGCCACTAAAGTTCTTCTAGGGAGCTAATTAGGATCTCCTCCCGTGTCCCTTCTAACTCTCAGATTACAGAAATCTAACCCCATGATTTAGTCTTATGGAGAAGGCATAGGTTTGGATAGTTGCCAAATATCCAGGCAAATGGAATTGTTCACACTGGTCCTAGACTATGCCTACTGCCCTCCTCATCTATCTCTATACCTGACCTGCGGCCCGTTAGCTTGTCCTGTGTGATCTTTCTTGTTCTAGTTTCCCTTGCTCTTCTGTGGAAATCATTCTTTCAACCTTAGTGTGTGTATGCATATATATATAATGTACACATATGCTCATCTGAATATTTATAAATACAGCTATTTAGATATGAAATGTAAAATGTGCCTCTTTTGGTGCAACCAAGTAACACCACCATTTGTAGTAGTGGGTTCTCAAATTGCCTTTGACGGCAGGGAGGTTTGTTACCCTCCCTCATCTTTCCCACATGCTGAGGGCCGTTTGCGGGGAAACGTTCAGGCATACCCCACTGAGAAGCCACTGCTATACTAAAAAATGTGCCATACATTTGAATTGAACTGGAAAATATTCATGCTGGGTTCTTATTTGTATGGCGAGGTATAAATTATAGAGCATTTTCTTACACATAAACTCATATCATTCATATAAAACTATGCTGTAGGGAAGAATGCTCTTATTATTTTCACTTTATAGCTGAGGAAACAAAAACTCAGGAAGTTTCCTGGTGATGTAGTTAATAATAACCCATCTGAAGTACATTTTGGGGTCCATGAAAGAGTGCTTCTGTTCCTGAGAACCAAAGGTATGATGGGCTTAGAGAGACAGTCTTAGAACTCAGACCTTGTTATTTTCCCCACACACCTTTCTTGAATTTTAATCTAGATGAGGACTCAGGTGAACACGTATGTATGTGATGCTTACTTTAACCAGTTGGATGGGCTCTTGAAAGACTTAAAATATGAGGAGATCCAATTTTGTGGTGCTGTTAGGGAGGCTAGATGTAAGGATATAGCTCTTGAGTTGGGTGCTATGATAGCTGGGACTCATCCAGGGAGCCCTGGTTATGCTCAACTGCACATGTTCCCCCTGAGATTCCTGAGAAGCCTTTCATTGTGTGTGTGTGTGTGTGTGTGTGTGTGTGTGTGCTGACGTACTCATAGGGAAATCTGGATATATTAACTTTTAGAAACCACACATGCTTTGTGTAGGAGGAAATCAGAGGCACACCAGGACTAAGGTACACAGGAGGACAAGAGGGAAAATACAGGGCCTTTAAAGGTAAAAGACAAGTGGACAACCAACGACTGCTTAGTAAATGCCCTTTCTTGCTGTGGTGAGGGCTCTGGTGGTGTGTGCACTTGGGATGCCCATTAGCAGCAGAGCTGGTGCTGCTAGGATAGACCTGCAGAGGGAACCACCCTGAGGTATTGGGCTGCTCTCTACTCTGCATACCTGCTGGGACAGCTCATCATCATGGAGTGGGCTTTCTATCCGAGGAGGAAAAGCACCTCTCCCAGCTCGTGGTCTGTAGCATAGAACCGGTTTTGGAAAGATGCCCAGTGAAGCCGGAGCTCTATGGCTCAACGGATTTGAGAGACTGTTTGGGCTGATATTTGTAACAAATTTTGGTTGGCCTCATCCATTTAATTTTTGCTGTGATGTTTTGGCGGTGTTTAAGAAAACGCTGTCTTGGAGGGCAGCGCATATTCAGGAGATAAAGGGCCCACCTTAAAAACCTCAGTAACTGCCTTTGTCTCTTCTTAGACCAGACAGACACTTAGATAACTTGTAAAACAGAAAGATCATGGAGACTTATGAGGAGACATGGCAGAGGCATGAACTGTTACAAAAACCTAGAGAAACAGCTGCCTCGGCATCATGACAATCCATGAAGGTCCTCATAGGAGCAACCTATAATGCAGGCTGTCTAGGAGAAGCTGATTAGGTGGACTTAGCTCATGAATGGGCAAGTTCAAAGGGAAGGAAATGCTTCTTTCCCTGGGTAAACCACGCACTGAACTTGTGCCTGATAGGTGTTTGCTTCCGACCGTAGCTTGTTGAGAATCCTCTGGCTGAGGATCAGAGCTGGATAGAAGTAGAAGGGAGGGTGCTGGGCCGAGGAGACCAGGTGATTTTTATTTGGGTATTGAGAAAATCACTTGGCAGGGCTCCCTGAAGAGCCTTCTCAGAGACAGCATTGCTGCCTGTGATTAGAGCCAGTATGCCTAGTTCTTCTTCCAGCCTCCCCCTCGCCCCAAGTGGGCAGCCACAAAAGTCCTATGTAACAATTCTACTCTGCAATATGAGGCTGCCATGAATCTCCATTATGGCCACAGATTTGGGTTTCTTTGGGGGTGGCAGAGGGGGATCAGACACTCTATATAGTAAGGTGGCCAGAAGACCAGCAGTGTGAGAAAGGACAGGAAAACAAAAACTAACTCTCTGCCATTGAGTCGATGCAGACACATAGTGACCCTGCAGGACAGGTAGAACCACCGCTGTGGGTTTCTGAGACGGCAACTCTTTACAGGAGTAGAAAGCCTCTCATTTCTCCTCCAGAGCAGTAGGTAGTTTTGAACCACTGACCATGTGGTTTGTAGTCTAACCCAGTAACCACTATACTGCCAGGGGTCTTATCACACATTCGTTTGAATTTCCTTCCCCTTAGGAATTCCAGCTCCTTCTTATTAGAGCAAACCCTCTGTTCAGTCCTACAAGTTCTCCCTTTGATGGAGGGGCCTAGAAGGGACTGTTCTCTTTAGATTTAGTCCTCTTCTGCTGGATTCACTTCCACATGAAAGCCAGTCTTTCACATGTCCATTACGCTCCCTTCTCTCAATGAAATTGGGATTTTGGCATTGAGAGGGAGAGGAAGGGAGGGGGAAAGACAGAGAGAGAGAGAGAGAGAGAGAGAGAGAGAGAGAGAAGTGCTTAGTCCTGAGGGTAGTTGTGGGCTGTATCTCTGCCTGTGGGACTTGAGTTTG